GTTGAATCTTTGTGATGGTTGAATCTTTGTGATTGTTGAATCTTTGTGATGGTTGAATCTTTGTGATGGTTGAATCTATGTGATGGTTGAATCTGTGTGATGGTTGAATCTGTGTGATGGTTGAATCTGTGTGATGGTTGAATCTATGTGATGCTTGAATCTTTGTGATGGTTGAATCTTTGTGATGGTTGAATCTGTGTGATGGTTGAATCTTTGTGATGGTTGAATCTGTGTGATGGTTGAATCTATGTGATGGTTGAATCTGTGTGATGGTTGAATCTATGTGATGGTTGAATCTATGTGATGGTTGAATCTTTATGATTTAAACCGTCACAGCAGTAATATCGTTTATGCCGTGGTATTTTTTCTTTGTTGCTATTGTTGCTGCAGTGGCCGGGGTGATCAGTTTGCGCGGGTGCGCGCTGGCAACGATTACACTGGAGAGGCTATCACGTGACAATTTCCTCCTCGTCGATTTGCTGCTGAGAGAGTGCGCACGCTGCTAGCATCAAAATACTAACCGGCGGTCAGTTTATGGACCATGCTGATATTGTCAATGCCCTCCGAGGAGTCGGAAGGGTGGAGGCCTTTGGGAGCAGTGAATCAACATCACTGACCAGAGTGAAAGCCTTGGGAGTCAAGATCGGCATAGCAAAAAACTAGATGCACACCAGGCACGTCAGAGGAAGTTAATCAACACAGAACTGGTACTATTATCCATCGGACACTCGGGTTCATACTGAGGGGAGGATCTGACCACCTATGGACGGATCTGACCACATATGGACATGTCCGGATTGCAGTAATGATAACCCAGCTAGCTAACTAACTAACTAACTTACTAACTAACTAGTTAACTAACTAACTAAAATACTTGTATTTGAAAAAAGAAGACACACAATAGATTGCAAAATATATTGCCTGGTATATTTCGCTGTATCTCGTCAGGTGCATACTACAGTAACAATTACATAAAGTAAGCAAATAAGTGATTCCTTTATAACTGAGAGTACAATTTCAACGACAAACAAGCATAGCTGCCTGTGTTTACCAAGGTAGCTGCAGTGTCAGAAATTGTGCAGTCTATTGTTTGTGTCTTCTGTGTTCAAATTTACAACGGGAAAAATACTGACAATTGGTATCTTTCACGCCTTACAGTTCGTTTATCTTCTTCTTTGCGTTCACCAGCTGTAAACTCTGGCTGAAACTTCTGGTTGTTTATCCACTTCTGCACTGCAGTTCTGTTCCAGAACCTGAGTGTTGCGTGAGCATCCGTTTTACAGATCTGACTCATTTGTATGCAGATTGCTGGTTCCTGGCCTCTCAGGCAGATCACTCCGACTTTGAAGGAAGCTCTCAATTAGTCGACTCTTACAACGTGCCTTTGGGTAGGCAGTGGGTCTATTCTTGTTTTCTCTATAATAGGGGCCGGGAACCCACACAGTAATGGTTTGTTTATGAAAGACGAAAGCATGCAGCGAGCGGGCCATGTTAATACTCCTAACAAGTGTTACTTGCTGGTCGAGCCGTAAACCCAGTGGCTAGCTGGCTCTGCACAACTTGGTGGAATACTGATGCATGATAAGGCAGACGTGGTTAGTGCCTTGTGGGAGAGAGCGTGTACAGTTCGGAGGAGCAGATGGATCACCACAGTCTGGTGAGAGTGGTGCAGCGGGGAGTGACGAGGGCGTCTAGCAAGATGCTTGAGGCTCAGAGGAAAGGCAAGACAGCCGTATAATCAGAGTGCTACTGGCACCATTAGTTTCGGAACTCTACACTGTCTGTTGAAGATGAGGACGGAGTGCTTATTGTAGTGCCCTGAGGCCTGTGATGTCGGTTCTTGAATTAACTCAGCTCAACTCAAACCAGTGGCGTATTTGTAATAAACAGTAAAAATAAGTAGTAAACTTATGCTTTTGTCTTTTGCGATCAGGGTCTAAGCGACGATTACAATCGTTAACATTACTTCGTCACTGGATTGCTTTGGAAGTTGCAATAGCGCAATTACTAACAGATTATCTTGGAATTAAAGTTATAGACCAGGATTAGCATGACGTTGAAGTTACAGATTAGAAAGAGACAATCTACATTCTTTGGTCATGTGATGAGAAGGGGGAAACTGGAGAACATCATGAGCGTAGGAAAGTATGAGGGGAGGAGATCTTTCTTTGTTACATATAACATGAGGAGAAACCAACCCTGAGCCTCACGAACTCAGGTGGGCCCACTCTCTGAATTTTGTCTAGGAGCTCGTGGGCCGAAACATTTGTCGACGAGAGATTACTTCTACTGATGATTGGTAGACCCCTGCTGTACATGCTCCCCTGTGGAGTTTCTTCTTATCTTATGATAGTAAACATTTGATCTCTGTCGTGATTATTTTTGTTTATTAAATTGAATTTCCGTATGGTCAGACTGTCACTAGTGTCTGTTTTATCCCCTATTTATGGTGATGCAGACAGGGGGTCGTGAGACTGAGGATTTAGGGCTGCATGGCTAGTGCTGTCGCCACGGACTGCACAGGTTAGGTTGTTTAACTCCATCACCTTACCTTGGGTCGAACCCGGGTCTCCTGCATGAGAGACCGACCTTGTAACCACTTGGCCAGCCTCTCCTTACACAGTAGGAATTACCCCACACAGAACTGCGGGTTACACCAGGCCGATACGGGTTAACAGCAACGACAGGTGATCCAAAGACACGCGGTATTATGGAACTATGGTTATGACGATGGAGAAAATGATGACGATTTCTGGAAGGTGCGACAAGAGTAGCCAGATGTATATACTTGTTACATATCACGAAAAGGAAAGGATAATTAAATCGTTCAGATAATCAGCAGCCCAAGCACAAGAGGGCTAGTCTATTATAAACAGATCAGAACAAACCATTACCTTGCGCATCAGAACAGGGTACAACCGATTACTCACACAACATTCAAGATAGGTGGATCAGCCATATGCACCTGTGGAAGGTTGATAGGTGGATCAGCCATGTGCACCTGTGGAAGGTTGATAGGTGGATCAGCCATATGCACCTGTGGAAGGTTACCCCAGACAACAGAACATGTACTGCAGGGCAGCACGAATTGGACACATTAATGCAAACTTTTGGGCCAGAAAGAACAACAGTGGAACAACTCTACGACGGACCACCGTGTGAACTAAAAACGATAGTGAAATTTATACGAGAGACTAATATAGACAACTTATTTCAGGTAAACGAAAGAAGAAGAACGATGTGTGAGCACAGAACACAGAGTAACTAAGACGCATTGCTGCCATCTTAAACTGCGAGTTAGAGAATCTCCCTGTGGGCGTTCCAGGTCCCACTGTGGGTGTGTGGGGGGGGGGGGATGGGATTGATAATTAGCCTACCATCTAACAAGCGTGTCGTAGAAGCTGACTAAGTAGGGGTGTTTCCTTCGAAGTCTGAGTGCATCTGCCTGAGAGGTAAGGAACTTGTAGTGTGCATACTAATAAGCCAGAATGTAAAACGGATGTGTGCGCAAAACTCAAGTTCTGTAACAGGACTATAGTTCAGAAGTTGACGAACAACCAGAACTTTCCGCCAGAGTTTATAGCTAGTCAGCGCATAGAAGACAAGGAATAAGAAGACATACAGTGCGGAGTCGGTACTGTGCAATAATATGGAAGTGTTTCTTAGGTTGTAAAACTGTAAATCAGATTTGTGGACAGTATTCTCGCCATGGTTATGTCTCAACGACTCCATCAATCAACGGTGTTTTTTCTTGTCACTTCTCCGCCAGTAACGGTGTCTCGAACATCGGGGCACGGCTGTCATTTAGTTTACTATTAATTGCTTTTTTTGGCATTGTAATGAGGCTGTTTGAGGGAATGGATTCAAGCAGTGTGTCCGCGCGCTGTGACACCGAAAATGGGCGACATAGACGTTTTGAAGACCTCTCCACACGAAAATACATCTAGTTATAATGGTGACTTTTTTTTTGGGGGGGGGGGGGGGGGGGGGGGTCCCTTAGAAAACTTGTAACAAGACTTAGCGATCTCCGATCTCGTAACAGTGCATAGATTTGTCCCTTTATAAGTATTTATTTATTAATTTAATATTATTAGAAATATCATATGTTTTGCTGTTCACAACATTTATTATTATTATTACACAGTTAAACAGGACTTATACCCTCTAAGCCCTATCCAAGAATATTTGCACGAGGTGAAACACCCACCTGTCCTAAATATTTTCCTTGTGTCGATGCCCCTGCCGCCCATTTGATCATTGCACTATGACGCATTCTGATTTATTCCGTAATAAATCTATCAGACACAATCAACTTTTTTTCAAGCATCTTATGGGGAAATAGTTCATTTGTTATTCTGAGTGCGGTTTTTGTCAGCAAACCATATTTTTTCTTTGGCGCCCTCTTTTTCCTGTATCATCTTTTTATAGGTGTAGTCTTGGTAACTGGCATTGCTTCATTCTAATAAAGATGCCCAAGTCATTTGTATCATTGCTGTATCTGGGTATATTAGTTATTCGTTCTGCATTTGCCTCTACGCCATAGTTATCTCTAGAAATTACACTTTATTTGTTCTGCGTCTTTTTCTCTATCCTGTTTATCTCTATAAAGGTCACTTACCTGTTCTGTGTCTTTCTCTCTTCCTTGTCTGTCTCTAATAAAAATTTAAGAACCATTTTTCACGCCTTCATAATATTATGCAAATTGTGCTCAACCTATATTTTATAGACCAATGGGGAATGGGGGTCAACATAACATTGGTCGCCTTTATTTCCAAGGACTGGTTCCCATTTAAAGCTGGGTCGGCCTGAAAGCTAAGTTCATTTTTAATAGAAAAAAACAAGGCCCGTTTGGATTTGGACCCATGACTTTCGCAGTGGAGCATGTTTGGTTTGTGACATGACATTTATTAGTTTTTCATCGTTCTCTGTCAACAGTCTCTGGCCAAGAAACAACAGGAACATCAAGAGGCTGTCTGGGAGCTGTTGCTGACAGAAGTGTCTTATATCAAGCAAATACGGGTCATTATCGATGTGAGTAGACTTCTTCCTTTTCTCATTATTGATGTGAGTAGACTTCTTCCTTTCCTCATTATCGATGTAAGTAGACTTCTTCCTTTCCTCATTATCGATGTAAGTAGACTTCTTCCTTTCCTCATTATCGATGTGAGTATATTTCTACTTTTCTTCATTACTGTTTTGATTAGATTTCTACCTTTCCTCATTATCGATGTGAGTAGATTTCCTCCTTTCCTCATTATCGATGTGAGTAGATTTCCTCCTTTCCTCATTATCGATGTAAGTAGATTTCCTCCTTTTCCTTATTATCGATGTGAGTAGATTTCCTCCTTTCCTCATTATCGATGTGAGTAGACTTCTTCCTTTTCTTATTGTTTCTTCATTTTTATTGTGTTGTGTTAAGACAGAGTTTGCTAATGAAAAGCAGCAGCTGGGAGACTTTTCCAGACCATAAATCGAAGATTTCTCAGCAAATGAGACATTAGCAAGCAGACGAAAATTATTGTTTACCGCTCTACCTATGTACCAGTCCTGACCTATGGGTGCGTAAGTCATGGGCAGTGATAACTACTTACTGAAGCCAGCTTCAGGCCTCAAACATAAGATGTCTGAGAAAGGTGGTCCAAGTGACAAGAAGGGACAAAGTCTGCAATCAGACAATACATCAAGATCTTGATACCCAAGCCTTACAGAATCGAGGGGATTCAGTCACAGTTACGATGGTTTGGACATGTATGCAGAATGGGAGAAAATCGGCCACCATGGCAGGCATCGGAGACTAAGAACCAGGGAACCAGACCTCCTGGGTGACCCAACGTGCGCTGGGAAGACAACATCCGACAGTCCCTGACTGACAGAGGACTGGAATAGAACAAAGCCAGAAAGAAAGCTGAGGATTGAGAAATCTGGTGATCTTTCTAGCAAACCTCTACACCCCAGGGTTTCTACTATCATTTCCTAAATGTTACTACAGAACTCTGTAGAGGTGAAGACATTCGCGTGCGGATCAGAAGGTCAAGGGGGTTCAGTCCCTGACAGGGCCAGACTTTTTTTTCCAACATGCCTTTAGCTCCCAGGTAAGCTCAGCTTTAAACGATTACCAGGCTTAGTCCAGGGAAGTAAAGGTAGCCCGGGTGATACTGACCACATCACCTACTTAGTCCAGAAAATATGGGTCCTGCCCTATATGCCCACTACACCTGAAAGCGTGGAAAAGGATCCTGTACTTTACTGTAATAATCCTATACAATTAACATTGTAAACATATGATTATCAACTTAATGTATATTCATTACTTTGATTTCTAACCACAGGTCTTTCAGAACTGTCTCATTAATGTTCAACAGGAGTCTTTCCTTAATGAGGTCAGTTTGTTAACATTGTTTAGTCATACGGTAAAACAAAAAAGTCATTAATGTACGTCTAAGTTTTTAACATAGTTGTTCCCTGTATGGGTTCCTGGGCCCCATTGGGTGGAGGAGAGAATCGATTAACTGCCCCCCGCCCCCCATGCCCCCCCCCCCTCAACAAGCATGTCATTGATGTAAATAATTCGGGGGTTTGTCTTCAAAGTCAGGGTAAATCTGCCTGCAAAGCGAAGAATCAACAGTCTGCATACAATTAATTCAGATCTGTAGAGCTGATGTGCACGCAAAACTCAGGTTTTGGAGCGAGATCAAAGTCCATAACAACCAGAACTTTTGGCCAGTGTTTACACCGGTGAACAAACGGAAGAAGAAAATAATTGGGGAAGTGAAAGAGGTAATAAGGTAATTAGTGTAGTTTGTAAGTTAATAATGTAGTTACTGTATTGTGTGTCTGTCTGTGTGTGTGTGTGTGTACACACACACACTCATATACATATATCAGATCAATCCTTATCGCACCCAGATGCACATAAGGCAGAGGTAAACTGTCGCTACTCAGTTGGATCCTAGGGCATCATCTTATCTCCAGTTTTGCCCCTCGCGTAGTTTTTAGTTTAGCCTCAAAGGTTCACCTCCAAGTGCCCCTGGGCCTGTCTCTTCCTCGCTGTCCTTGTCGTGTCCATTTCATTGCCTGTCTCGGCCGTCTCTCTTTCTTTACTCTGAGGACATGTCCAATCCACCTCCATCTTCGTTTTTTGAAACACATACATACATACACATATTAATATGGTAATTAATGTGGTGGATCGGTTAATAAGGTAATTTATATGGCACATAAGTTAATATGGTAGCACTCGACTTGACTTGACTTGCTCTGGGAAACAAAATCGTCAGGTTCAACCAGTATCAGGGGGGGGGGTGCTTTTGGTTATAATTGTGACTAGCTTTATATGTGCACCATATAAAATGGCCTAGCATTGCTCGCCACCAAGTAGCCCTGAAAAGGACTCTTGCAGTGTTGATGGGATCAAAGAGACATACCCAAATACTGTCCCGACCAACGTGAAGAAATCATCCATCGACTAGCCAAAGGGCGGCCTGGTCACGTTGAAGGTAGCACCACAATGTCTATATCTATAACAGTAAGATGAGGTTAAGATTTTTAACAAGTGTCTCGTTTTTTTCTTTTAACTGAATAGGAAACAGGCTGTTATTCATTCACTTAAACAGATGATCTTCCATACCATGATGTCAGATTAGCAGGAGTCCTCTCTTCTTTCTAACTCCCTCTGCTTCTCTACCCCTCAAACTTTTCATCCTCCACAATGTACTCCAGTTTTCTCCTTCTCATAATACCATCAAAGAATGTAGATTCTCTCCTTCTGTTGTGGCCAATCAGTTCTCTGCATAGTCACTTTATTTCAAGACATCTCTAATATTATTTTTGTCTGTACAGGGTGTTCTCATCATTAATTTACAAAATCACATCTCCTCTACTTTAACATAATTCTTCACTAACTGTCGATACTTTTCCCTTCCGTTTTCTTCATCTTCTTCTTCACGTTCACCGGCTGTAAACTGCTAGTGAAAGTTCTGGTTCTTCGTCCACCTCTTGACTTAAGTCTTTTTCTAAAACATGATTGTTGCATGCACATTTGTTTTACAGAACTGACTTATATGCATGCAGACTGTTGGCTTATTGTCTCTCAGGCAGATGCACTCTGACTTAGAAGAAAACCTCCATTTAGTCGACTGTTAGAACCTGCTTGTCGGGGAGACAGTGGGTCTGTTCTTATTTCCCCCACAGTGGGGCCACAGAACACACACAAGGACTTCACTTCCATAAAACAGGATAGGATTTATGTAGCTTTTGAGAAGTCTCTTGTTAGAAGTTGTAATTAGGGCACCTATAGCGGTGTACTTCACTGGGGTATCTTGTTGTTCCTCGGAGGGTCAGAAAATTTGTGAGTTATTGTCATATTCATTAATTAGTCAACAACTGTATGCCATTATTCTTAATATTGAATGCAGTGTTTGTTCCATGTATTTTGTGATGATTTCTCCCTTCTGTTTAACTATTTTTTACTTTTTCTCTCTTTATTTGACTGCCCCCACCCCTCCACCTCCCGTAATCAACTGTTTTGTTCTAAATATTAACATGTTTTTCTATGTACTTGAAGGTTTTTAACTTTTCCGCACATGTATTTGGCTGTTTTCCCTTTTGTATTAAACTTTTAAAATTGTAACTGTTTTCCTCATGTATTTAATTTTGTTTTTCCCAAATTTGTTTCCATGTATTTACCTGTTCTTTCACATATATTTGACTATTATTTCCAGTTTCCTTTCCTGTTTTCTCATATATTTTGACTGTTATTTCTCACGAAATAGACTGTATTTTATCTATTGAAATATCACCAGATTGAAACAGAACGACTCTTCAGCAACATTGACAGAGTCTATGAGTGCAACTGTATGTTCTGGCAACAGTACCTACTTCCCATCCTCCAGCGAGGAAGAGAATGTCGGCAGCCGCTGGACCCACTTCTTTCCAAAGAAGGCTTTGTGGATCATGTAAGGGTTTTCTCTAATCCGGTTACCTTTTATTCACCTTCTGTGGGCAGAATTAGGTATCCTATCTTAAATAAAGTTAGCAGATGAAAAGCTAGCAGCACCGGTGACTGGGTTGAATGTTGAATGTTGACTTCAGAATCAACATCACAGCACTCGGAACACCCCCATAAGCGCTCCATCCCCATCTTCAGCAGCAAGCAAAGAGTTCAAATTCTGATGGTACCAGTAACTGTCTGATTGTATATCCATCTCACCTTTCCCCTGAGTGTCGAGCGTCGGCCAGATCCCCTTGTAACTCCTTGCAGCACCATTCTCCTCAGACCGAAATGATCTATCTGTGCCTCGGCACTGTTCACTCCCTCCCAAAGGGCCCTCACAACATCCAGCTTGTCTTACATCAGTTCACCACCAAGCGGTGCAGAACCGGCTGGTGACTGAATAAATTTATTTTATGTGATAAGAGAATTAAAGTTAAAGCAAATGTGATCCTGAAAAAAAAAGTTTTTAATTTAGTTAAAGGTTAATCTTTATGAATTCATTCATTCATTCAGTAGCATGTCCCTCGCGGAACCTCGCTGCCATAACAACCCTCCGGAAAACCTTCCTATCATGAGCAAGATGTCCTGCGTCTGATACACCCATCTGGAGATCATCTGCCACATCCTGCACCCATCTTCTCCTTGGCCTTCCTCTTCCTCTCTTCCCAGGCATATACCCCTCCATTATTGTTCTCTCTAGACCTCCATGACGTTTCAAGTGACCAAAATATTTCAATTTTCTTTGTTTTATTGTCTTTACTAGCCAACCCTCTTCAATATTCAGCTCTTGAAGTATGGATGCATTTGTTCTTTTCTTTACCCAAGATATTCTTAGAACCTGTCTGTAACATTTATATTCAAATGCATTTATGCGCTGTTCCGCATTATTGTTCTCTCTAGACCTCCATGACGTTTCAAGTGACCAAAATATTTCAATTTTCTTTGTTTTATTGTTTTATCTTTATGAATAGAACAGATAAAAGTACGTAATTCAAAGTACTAAGAGCATAAATATTTCTTGTATAATCAAATCAATGAAAGACTTGGGCATATAACAGATCAGCTGAAAAACCACGTTTGTGCCTTTTAATATAATTATTTCAGAAGAGTTCTGAAAATTCTTTGGGCGGAATCGAAAATAAGCAGATCTGTTGAATAAGAAGACTGAAGACTGATCATTAAGATAGACAAATGAGGAAATTGGTGCAATTGTGCATCAAAGCAGATTTGTTTTTTCACCATTGTCCTTGGCTTCCAGGTTGACACAGCCTTAACCCTCTCCCCTGTAGAAGCACAAAACTCTGGGCTTGTGGATTGTGACACAGCCTTAACCCTCTCCCATGTAGAAGCACAAAACTCTGGGCTTGTGGATTGCGACACAGCCTTAACCCTCTCCCCTGTAGAAGCACAAAACTCTGGGCTTGTGGATTGCGACACAGCCTTAACCCTCTCCCCTGTAGAAGCACAAAACTCTGGGCTTGTGGATTGCGACACAGCCTTAACCCTCTCCCCTGTAGAAGCACAAAACTCTGGGCTTGTGGATTGCGACACAGCCTTAACCCTCTCCCCTGTAGAAGCACAAAACTCTGGGCTTGTGGATTGCGACACAGCTCTGTCAATGTCCTTTCCCAACATGCCATATATGGCTTTCTACAAGGAGCCACCCTAACAGCATTGCTTCCATTTTTTCCTGAGCAACTTTTTAGATAGAATGACTTGCTATGAAAAAGTATACAAGCAGAGCATACAACCACACTTGGAATATGGGTCAACTGCATGGTGTTCAGCATCTAGTACCACATTAAAGGAGTTGGACAAAGTGAAAAATCAAGCCCTTAGAGTCAGTACAGAAGGGATGAAATCAACCCCTGTATTAGAAATGGAGAAACCTGGGAAAACACGGGCACTGAGAGAACGCAGTGATAAAAAGTTGCAAATACCAGCCGAAAAGTTTCTCAGTATGCCAGATCACCCCATGAAAAAAAAGATTTCAGAACCTAGCCTTGGGATGGTTAAAAAGAAGCAGCCTTATACACCAGGCAAAAAAGAATATGTAGACAAACTGCTGACCTTCCAGAAATTGGTTGTCCACTTAACAGTATTCCAGAACAAACACCACGGAGAGGAAAATGCAAACTAACAGTACAAATCCAGACAAATGTGAAAGGAATATTTGACAAGAAAGAGCAAGATAGTGTACAACGCAGAATGCCACCCTCAGTTATATTGATGAAGAATACCCACAAGAACAATGGGTCAGAGTCTTTACAGATGGGTCCGCACAAAGTGCAGTTAGAAATGGTTGTGCTGGAGTGTACATAGAATTCCCAGATGGTACTAGGGATAAGTCCGGCATACCAACCGTGAAGTACTGCCGTAACTATGATGCAGAAACTCAAGATAGCTACAGAGAAACTGCCAAATACCAATCTTGGCTCACAGTATGTGGTAATGCTGACAGATGCAAAATCCATATTTGAAGCACTCCAGTCTAGGAAACTACCAGAATTGCAAACACTGCTGACACAACTCAGCCTTCAGCAAAGTGTTGTAATGCAATGGATACCCTCCCATTGTGGAGTGCCTGGAAATGAGAAAGCTGATCAACTGGCAGGAAAAGGTGCGACAAAAGTACAGACTGATATACCAGTCACATACCACCAAAAGAAAAGGATCATTAAATCGATCAGGAAACCACCAGCCCCAGCACAAGACGACTATTTTATTATGGACAGATCAGAACAAGTCATTATCCTCCGCCTCAGAACGGGGCACAACCGATTACGTTACCACATGTACACAAAATTCAAGATAGGCGTATCAGCCATGTACACCTGCGGAAAGGTTAAAGAAACTTCTTCTTCTTCTTCTTCTTCTTCGTGTACACCAGCTGTAAACTCTGGCGGAAGGTTCTGGTTGCTCGTCCACTATTGAAATGCAGTCCTGCTCCAGAAACTGAGTGTTGCGTGTGCATCAGTTTTACAGATCTCATTCTCTTGAATACAGACTGTTGGTTCCTTGCCTATCCGGCAGATGCACTCTGACTTCAAAGGAAGCTCCCCAATTAGTCGACTCTTACGACATGCTTTTGGGGAGGCAGTGGGTCTATTCTTGTTTTCCCCACAATGGGGCCCCGGAAACCACACGTGGGGGGGTGGGGGTTAAAGAAACGTCTTGTCCCTTTAGTGAAAGGTTCATTTCTTGCAGCTCCAGGCTGCATGCCCATATCCATCAGTCTAGACAGAGATACGTAGTCATGTCCTTTAGCATGCTTCTCAGTACAGTAAGTGCAGCACATGGCATTGATAACATCACTTCTGTCCAATAGTGGACCAGCCATAACAACCGCAGTGTCAGCAAGATAGTCTGCATGCTCGTTTCCTCGAACACCCACATGACCTCGATAAAAAGATGGTGTGGGCTGCTATTTGTGAAGTGCTTAGTGTTGCAATCCATTTTTGCCTGATAAAACCAGCTTGAATTTTTAAGCATATTCATCGAGTCACTAAGAATGCATACGTGTGTGAACTTTTGAGTACCAAGCCATGCTAATGCCCTTGTTGCAGCCATAGTTTCCATTGTTAAGACTACTAGTTATAACAGCAAAGGCGCCATTCATCTCCTTGATGGTTTTTCCCCCCTTGAGCTTACTGTGAAGGCCCATGTACTTCGCTTGCCCGGATGATGATGGTTATGATCATGATGGTGGTGGTGATGAAGAGGATGATTATAATCATCATCCTGGTGATGGTGGTGGTAGTGATGATGATGATGATGGTGGTGATGGTGATGGTGTTGGTGGTGATGATGATGGTGGTGGTGGTGGTGATGATGATGTGTGATAATGAGTTGATATGTTTATTTTCTCCTTTGTCTAGTTCCCGAGTATGTTCCAAGTTTACTTCAAGTTTTTCATCGAGCACAAATCTTGCCTGGATTATGCCAAATCCTGCATGGAAAACAGCGACCTCTTCAAAATATTTATTCAGGTGAATGTTACGCTGACTTCCTGAGAAATAAATACAATTAAAGTCATTCAGAATGAAAGCAACATTCTAGTATTTCTTTTTCTTCTTCTTCTTCTTCTTCTTCTTCTTCTTCTTCTTCTTCTTCTTCTTCTTCTTCTTCTTCTTCTTCTTCTTCTTCTTCTTCTTCTTCTTCTTCTTCTTCTTCTTCTTCTTCTTCTTCTTCTTCTTCTTCTTCTTCTTCTTCATTTTCTTCTTCTACCTGTTCTTCTTCTTCTTCTTTTTTTTTCTTCTTCATCATCTTCTTCTTCTTTTGTGTTTACCCTTGGAAGTGTGGTAGGCATATTTGTTACAGTTTGCAGATAGGCTGTGATATCTACACTTTTTTGCTTAACAAACTCTGAAAATCCCTTAGTCACTTTTTATGATGTGATTGTTAACTCTTTCAGTCCCAAGGAATGCATGATGCATTCACAGGTTCCTATCTAGAAGCCCAATGAACCCATGTTGCGCTGATTTTACGTATTTCTTGTTTATCTCTTGGGCTTCTGATGCTAAACCCCCTGGGACTGAAAGAGTTAAGGAAACAGTGAGTCTCTTCTTTTTGCCTATAAAAATGGGGACAGAAAAACCACAGGAAATCCAGATACCCTATTTCCTCAAGTGTAATAACTTATTTTCTCAAAATTTAGGGTCTAAAAATAGTCTGTGTCTTATACGATGTTAGTAAATTTTACCACATGATTTTTTTAGAAAATATCCGGTACGGGACCTCACATGGGAATGCTAGTGTAGGGACAACATAAAATGGGGGAAACAAATTGTACATTCAAACGTTCTTTCACACTGTTATAGTTTCTTGCAGTCATTGTTTCACACTAGTTACATGAGGAATTCCTCTGTCGATTAGGATTCAACCACTTGATGCCAGTAATAATAAACCCTTTAAAGTTGCCATGAGAGATGAATGGAACCAATGGGTAAAATCTTCTGGGGACAGTTTGAGATTAGCAGGTATTGTGAAGAAACCAACTGCAGGAGAAGTTTTTACCCTGGGTGAAAACATCCTGGGAAAATGTGAAGATTGAGATTCTTCTTAAGTCATTCGAGAAGTGTGGCATTTCAAATGCCACAGATGGAACTGATGATAAGGCAGTATATTAAGACATTGATTCGTCATCAGACATAGATTTGATTTGATTCAAGAACTGACATCACAGCACTTGGGGCATCTCCCTAAGCACTCTGTCCCGATCTTCAGCAGCCAACGAAGAGTTCCGATACTAATGGTGCAAGTAGCATTCTGATTAAACGTCCGTCTTGCCTTCCTCTGAGCCTCGAGCATTTACCAGAACCTCTCGTCACTCCCCGCTGCATCAGTCTCACCAGACTGTGGTGATGCATCTGCTCCCCTGAACTGAGCACACTCTCCCACAAGGCACTAACCACGTCTGCCATATCATGTATCAGTATCCTACCAAGTAGTGCAGAGCCAGTCAGTCTGTCCGCCTTTTCATTTCCTAACACACCGGCGTTACCCGGTGAAAAAAATCCAGACAATACTCCTTACCCATGTCCTCCGCAGTAAAGAATGCCACTCTGCACGAAGTTTGCCTGTCCTGCCCTTCCTGAGCATTCTTTCTGAGTCAGTTACAATCAGGATGTGTGTGTGTGTTGTGTTCACTAACTAGCGGAAAGCTTTAGTGAACACCTCCACCTCCATTCTTACACTGGATCATCAGACATAGAGGCGAGGATAAGCTGAACATCAGCTACCAGTAACACTCTGATTGTACATATACCTCGCCTTTTTCTTGAGTGTTGAGCGTTGGCCAGATCCTCTAGTAACTCCTTGTAACAATGTTTACATGATCACATTACCTTTTTTTAAACGTCTGGTCCCTAAATCAAAGTGTGCCTTATACAAGAGATCGTCTTATACTTGGGAAAATTTTTAAAATTATCGTCAATATTAATGAACCCGAAAAAGTTGAATGGGGTCGACCAAGAGGCAGACTGGAAATATAGTAGAGAGATAATATATAGACAGACATAGGTTTTAGATGTGTTTGGCTTGTGATAGTAAAAAGTGTTGCTGCATTCTAGCAAGATATGTGTATATTTCAAGATATTTATGTTTGATCTCTTCTTGTTTTGTCTTTCAGTGGGCAGAAGCTCTAAAGCCCAGAATATTTCAAGATAATTATATGTTTTATCTCTTCTTGTTTTGTCTTTCAGTGGGCAGAAGCTCAGAAGCAATGTAACCGCCTGAAGCTGGCCGATATCTTGGTTAAGCCTATGCAGAGACTATTGAAATATTCCTTACTGTTGCAAGCCATACTCAGACACACAGAAAATGCCAAAGACAGGACAGATATACAAGAAATGGTTTGTTCTATATAACTATTATTGTTGTGCTTAACATTATTAACATTGTTGAAGGCTTTCCTTTCTTCAGTAGGGATCATTGCTAGTCAGATATATAAGTAGAGAAAATTAAATAGGGTGACAGATATAGGCAAATTGTGGGAACGACACCTTGTACTAGATTCATTGACAAACAGCAGATCAAGTGGTTTGGCCATCTCGTTAGAATGCAGCAAGATCAAATACCATCACAAGCACTGCATCTCAAAAGATCAGCTACAAAAGCAAGAGGATGGCCATGGAAAACATAGATCAACAACATTAAAGACACTTTACGCCTTCACGGTATGACAATAGCCAGTGGCAGACAACGTGCACTGGATTGCAAATTATTCCTCCCCACGATGCTTAACGGCAGAAGTGGTTGATGATGATGATGATGACAGATATAGAGTGCAAACTAAACCAAATTCCAGTAAATTAAGCAGTGAGCAAACAAAAAACTGGCATTGGACAAAAGTGTCTATTTTGTCTTTTCTGTAAACCCTGCCCATGTCTTTAAGTGTTTTGATCACACATCCCAGCATCATATACTATATCTGTCCATCGCTTGTGTGGCGACCTCTACATCTGCTTTCATTGTGTCTTAAGTAACAGTGCTATCTGTTGTGCACTGTCTTGTGTTAGTTGTGACACATGTCCAAACCATTTAATCTCTTGTCTCTTTATGTAGTTTATCACTGATTACATCCCAGACTGATTCCTGATAAGTCACACATTGTGAAAAATTGGTGAATCATGGACAGTATAATGTTTAGTTTAAAGTTTTAAAAAAAAAACTAATAATGAGAATACTATAGAAAGCAACAGTCAGTCGCTAGAAACATGGAGTTGTGCTGTTGGATTTGAGAACAGCGTCTTCTATGACTGTAAAGTCTAATACGGGGGTGACAGTATCCCACATAGAAATGTTGATACTCTATCGTTCTGAGGCTGGTTTTGTCTCAGATATCCCAGTGCTTTATTAATATCTTACCCCAAACAGAAGAGATCAACAGGTCATGGGACAGTCTAATATTTCAGGGGGTGGTAGATAGGCTGCATGCAGTCGTGGGACTCAGGCTACACTCTCACGTGGGATGTAGGTGGGTTGGGGTTAGGGCTAGTTTTAGATGTTTTATGGTCGTTAAAAGCATTAGAGCCATGAAACCCTGTCTTATCACCCTCTAAAATGTTGGAGTGTCCTGTGACGTCATCTGGGGGTGGGATATTAATAAAGCACAGATATCTCCTCGCTACAGCTTGCTGCTGCATTTAGCCTTTTGCAAACTGTGATGTTCCTTTGTTTACTGCCTGCCTCCATAACAGTCAGTTTGCAGCTGATCTCTCCACACAGCCCCCCACACCCCCTTGTAAGAAAACTAAAACAAAGACTGAAAACCACTGTCGTAGACGGATGTGACTGCTGACTCTACAACTTTGTGTCAGTAGTCTTTTTTTACTTATTTCTTTCTTTGGTGGTCTCATTGATTCTCCAGCAGTTAATATGAATGTAAATCTGCATACATCAAATCTAAAGACTCCTTAGTCGTAAAGGTATTTTCTGTGCTTAAACAGGGTATTTAGGATTTGCCTAGTTGGATTGCCATCCAGGATGCAACTCTTTGAATTGCAAAGGTGGTGTTCTACTTCTTTTTCTCCTCCTCCTTCTTCTCCCCCTCCTTCTCCTCTTTCTTCTTCTTCTTCTTCTTCTCCTTTTTTTCTTCTTCTTCTTCTTCTTCTTCTTCTTCTTCTTCTTCTTCTTCTTCTTCTTCTCTTCTTCTTCTTCTTCTTCTTTTTCTTCTTTTTCTTCTTCTTCTTAATCTTTTTCTTCTTCTTCTTCTTCTTTTTCTTCTTTTTCTTCTTCTTCTTAATCTTTTTCTTCTCCTTCTTCTTTTTCTGCTGCTGCTGCTGCTTCTTCTTCTTGTTTCCACATTCATCTCAAAATGACAGTCAGCACATTGTATTGAGGTTTACAGTTAGGATGTGATATTTGCACATTTTGGCCCAACACATCTAATGTCATCAAATCTTTCATTAAAGTCCTTTTACAACATGCTTGTTAGGGGGCAAGGGGTCTGTCAGCCCCCCAACTGCCCCCACCCCCACCCCACCTTCACCCTAAATGGGCCCCAGAATGAACACAGAGCCAGGGATGGCCAAATCATCAGGAAACAGCATGAAGGAGATGGACAGATAGAAAGGTGTAATTTGTCCTTAACTTTTATATTTGCCTATTTTATTTTACAGATTCGGTCGATTGACAAACTTTGTTGGGCAGCTAACAACAGTCTGAGAAGGCGAGAAGACTACGAGAAACTTGAAGCTGTAAGAAAAACAATAGATCCTTTCGATGCCATAGAAGCTCCAAATGATGAATGTGCAAAAGTGAGTACAGTTTTTAATTTCTGCTTTCTGTTTGGGATACTGAAAGAAATAAAGACGAGAAAGTTGAAATACTTAGGCAACATTAAAAGACATAACACGTTTAGAAACCATACTGGAGGGGAAGGTCGAAGGTAAGAGAGCAGAAGGTAGACAACAATGAAAATTGGAGGAAAACATCAAGAGATGGACGAACAGCAGTCTGAAAGAGTGTACAACCAAGACAAGAGACAGAGAGTGTTGAAGATCCATTAGAGCCAACCTTTATTGTGGAGATGGCACCTAATTGATTGGTTTCTCTTAGGGAAGATCTGACATAGAGAAAAGTAAACGAATTACCTTAGAAATAACTACTATCAAACTTCTATAGAAATGTCATCATCATCAGCCACTTGTTATGCCGTTATCCATCACATAGGGTTCTTAGTATAGTCCTTAATTATGTGCTACCAATTATCATCATCAATCACCAGTTCCTTTAGAGAACATTGCTCTAGTCACAACTTGCATGCCGGTCTCTATTTCTCTAACCAATTCTCCAGCCCTATATGCTTTCATCTCTAATTTCTCTTCATTGTCTTGTATCCATTGTCTTGTCTTGTATCCATTGTCTTGTATTGTATCCATTGTCTTGTCTTGTATCCATTGTCTTGTATCCATTGTCTTGTCTTGTATCCATTGTCTTGTCTTGTATCCATTGTCTTGTCTTGTATCCATTGTCTTGTCTTGTATCCATTGTCTTGTCTTGTATCCATTGTCTTGTCTTGTATCCATTGTCTTGTCTTGTATCCATTGTCTTGTATCCATTGTCTTGTCTTGTATCCATTGACTTGTCTTGTATCCATTGTCTTGTATCCATTGTCTTGTATCCATTGTCTTGTCTTGTATCCATTGTCTTGTATTGTATCCATTGTCTTGTATCTGTTGTCTTGTCTTGTATCCATTGTCTTGTCTTGTCTTGTATCCATTGTCTTGTATTCACATTCACAGAGGTCTGCCTCTGCTTCATCTTCCAGACCCTGTACCCTCCACCACTGCTCTCTCCGAGCCACTACCACATTTAACATAGTCAAAATACCTGAGCTTTCAGAACAGGATGCTGTTTATGAGCCAATTCTCCTTAATGCTCAGATCATGCAGGATGTCCTTTTCTTCTCATAGATAAATCCAGTCCATGAACTTTGACTTTTCTCAGGGATGTTCATTTTAGGCATAGTAGCAGTTTATGTTTGTCTCCCCTTTTTATGGGCAGTGTTTTCCAAACCTTTTTTAGTCGCGGCGCCTTTTTTTCAATTACATTTTTCCACGGCACCCTAACCTAAGTAAAAGTATGACTATTTATATGTAAAGATAACAAAATAAAACTCGTGTATCTTCTAATATTTCGCGGTGCCCCTGTGAAGAAGTCGATGCTCGCCAGGGCGCCGTGGCGCACAGTTTTGAAATCACTGGTGTACAGCATTAGCCATATCCACTGGCTCCCTGATATAGCTCCTTGCCATTGCACAGTTCTCTCTACACTGAAATGATCTATTCCTGCTTCCACACTGTTCACTCAAACATAAAGCTTATTATACATAAATTCACCACCCGCTGGTGCAGCACCAGCTGGCAAGCAGCGCACTAACGCATGTGGGAAGAAGCATGCACGAGCAGATATCAGTGCTGTACAGACTGGGCAAGTCGATAATGTCGAATCTCTGACACTAACATAATTGTGTTGCATGGCAGTAAAGCATGGTGAAGCACGTCTATGATGCAGCCTTCAAGGCCAAGATAGGAGACATCATAACCAACCTTTCTTGGGAACAATTAGTAGAAGTTCCTTGGAATTGTTGCTGCGTCGGAGAACTGAACACGCATGGGAATGCCCAATGGGCAGTGATATTAATTGTGATAACATAGCAGCACCAGCAAGTGTGTATGCCTTTTTTTTTTCTTTTTAAACACCTGCATACCCAAAAGATACAAAGTATGCTAACTAGCGGAGATCCCTGCAGTTATTAAGATAATAATTATAGTGCATTATTAATGAGGTAATTAATGTACTGTGGTAATTAATAAGATAACTAATGTAGAGTTTTAATTAATAATGTAATTAATGCTGTGTGAGATTTTATGAGGTAAATAATTTAGGGCATGTGCTAATGAAGTGTTAAGTGTCGATATTTAAGTTAAAAATTTAATTATTTCAGTATGGTAATATGCAGTAATGTATTATCTTTTTATAACCTCTTTCAGATCATCCAGGAATACAATGGTAGCTTTAATCTGCTGGCTCCAATGCCTGGATTCAGGGATGGGCCTAGAAGTTTGCTGTTTCACTCCAGCCTAAGAATGAGAGAGGCACAAAATATTAAGGTAGACATCACTAATTACGTATTATGGACACTTTCATTTTCCAACTTCCACAAATCACACTAAGAAGATTGTGGCCAGATAATTTAGGAAAAAGGAAAAAGGTCAGTCACAGAGGTGTCATAAGCCACAGCACGCTGAGGGAGATACTGAAGAGGGGATCTGAGCACTTATGGACTGAATGGTTTGATGTGCGATGATAATCTGTCGACTTACTAACTAACTTTCATTCCAAGACATGTTTGGTGTAATTTTCTCATATTCAAACATTCACATATAAAAAATGTAAAGGACCCTTTTCATATCTTTATACCTCGGGTACATAGGACTTGTGCGGCGTCCGTGGCTAAGGCGTTGCGAGTCCGACTCGTGAGCCAGCATACCGCAATCAAAACCCACTGCAGGCTGCGTGGATTTTTGTCATAGTATGGGACGTCGCAGGTCGACCCAGCCTAAAATGGGTACCAGGATGGGCTGTCCTGGGAAAGTAAAGACAGCCGGCGTAATGCTGACCACATTACCCACAGAGTGCTGATGGTCTGTAAAAATATGGGACGCTCTGCCCATATGCCCGATGCGCCGAAAGGCGTGAAAAGGGATCTTTACTTTACTTTTACTTTACATAGGACTAGACCTATGTATTTACAGGCAAACTGACACTCGATGTATGATGTGGTCAGTATCATGCCAGCCAGTTTTACTTCCCAAAACATTACCTGATGCCCATTTTAGGCTGGGGCAAACTGTGCGCCATGGTAAATTTTAGAAGGAAATCCGTTTTGATTGGGATTTGAACCTCTTGACTTTCAAGTTGGCAGGTGACCGTCTAACCACTAGGCTATCCTGGCTTCCCAAACAAGTACTTCTTCTTCTTCTTCACTTCCTCTTTTACCGCTGTGGGTGTCGAGGGAGATATAAGGTTCTGTTTCTAGCTCTTCTGGCTGCCTCGACCATAGGCACATCGTGCTGTTGTAGAGTTTCTCTGATGTTATCCTTCCATCTTGTTCTTGGTCTACCCCGTGCTCTACGTCCTTCTTCTATTTCCATGTATGCTTTGTATGGTATGGTGTCACAAGGCATTCTCTCTAAGTGGGCAAACCATTTCACTTGCTGTCTTTGTATGTAATCCAGAATTGGTTCTGTGCCGACTTGTTCTCTTATGATCTCATTCCTGATCTTATCTCTTATGGTCACTCCTACAGCCCTTCTCAGACATCTCATTTCCGTGGTTACTAATTTTCTTTTATGGTTTGTTGTGAGTGACCATGTCTGGCACTGGTAGCACAGAGTTGGAATAAATATGCTTTGAATAAGATGTCTCTTTGTGCTGATGGGATTGTCTTATGCTGTAAGAGGGGGGCTAGCTGTCCCAATACTTGGTTTGCTTTACTGCATCTAATGTCAATTTCTTTATCCAATTTCCCATCTTCGGTAAATGTAGTTCCCAGATATTTAAACTCAGATGCCTGTTTAATGCCTTTGTATTCTATTGCTATGTCTTCTTTTTTCCTATTGACATTACTTCTGTCTTTTCAGTGTTGATTCTCATATTATTTGTTTTACATTCTTCATTCATGGATGTTAGATGTTGTTGCAATTTCATGGCTGTATCTGCTATCAAGGCCTGGTCATCTGCAAAGAGTAATTCGTTGATCTTACTAAGATCTTCATTCATGGGCTTGGCATTCTTGCATATACTGTCGATGTAGGTGATAAACAGCAGTGGTGATAAGACACACCCCTGTCTTACTCCCGATGTCACTGTGAAAGGATGAGATGTTCCCTGATTTATTCTAACTACACTTCTACAATCCCTGTATAAACTTTTAGATAAAACTTCGATGAGGTGTTCGCTTACTCCATATCTTGGCATTATTTTCCATAATAATTGTCTGTCGACTCTGTTTTCAAATGCCTTCTCCTGGTCTACGAATGCCACAAAAAAGTTCTTATTGTATTCAATGTTCTTTTCTATTAACTGTTTAAGTGTTGAAGATTGCATCTGTGCAGCAGACTCATATTTTCCTAAATCCCATCTGTTCTTCTGCCAGCTGTGGTTCTATCACTGGTCTCAGTCTTGTTTCTATTATCTTGGCATACATTTTTGCCAACCATGCTTAAAAAGAGAGATGCCTCGATATTGACCGCATTCTCGTTTGCTTCCTTTGTACAAGTACTACTTTCTGTAAAATGTCTACAGGAAATGAAAGAGTGAAAGTGATAATTTCTAGGATAGAAGGTTTTTGTCCTGTCATATCTCTCAGACGTCATATCTTCTTCTTCACTTCAGTCTTCTAAACATTTCATCATGTTCACAGATCTCCACTCAGTGTTATAAACTTTAGCATCATGTTATCTGATCTCACTCAGTGTTCAAACATTTATCATCATGTTCACAGATCTCACCCAGTGTTAGAGATCTTATCATAATGTTCACATTTGACCTCACCCAATGTTAGTTGACATTATCATCATGTTCACAGTCTCACCCAGTGTTGCAGACATTATCATAAAATTCACTTGATGTTAGAGACCCTCATCATGTTCACAGCTCACCCAGTGTTAGAAGACATCATCCTTTGTTCACATGACCTCACCACATGTTTTGACATCAGCTCGTTCAGATTGCCCAGTGTTACACCAGAATGATGTTCGGAGACCTCAGAAAATGTTAAAAGACATTATCATCATGTTTAAGGTCTCACCCTGATGGGGCCAGATTTTGTTCACAACCTCACCCAGTGTTGACATCATCAAAAGTTCCAAACCCACCAATGTTATAAACTTTATCTATGTTCACAGACCTGGGTAGTGTCTAGCCAGTACAATACCCTGGCTCGGAGTCACACGATAAATGTTGTAAAGTTTATCATCTTTTTATGTTTTACCAAGAATGTTGGCTGCCTGCTGTTCACAGACCTCAGCCAATGTAATAAACTTTATCATATTGTTCACAGATCTAATCTGGTGTTATAAACTTTATCATACTGTTCAAACACCTCACTCATGTTATAGACGTCATATCTTACTGTTCACATACCTCATCCAATGTTATAAACATTATCATCATGTTCACAGATCTCACTCAGTGTTATAAACATTATCATCATGTTCACAGATCTCACTCAGTGTTATAAACATTATCATCATGTTCACAGATCTCACCCAATGTTAGAGACATTATCATAATGTTCACAGATCTCACCCAGTGTTAGAGATATTATCATAATGTTCACAGATCTCACCCAGTGTTAGAGACATTATCATAATGTTCACAGACCTCACCCAGTGTTAGAGACATTATCATAATGTTCACAGATCTCACCCAATGTTAGAGACATTATCATAATGTTCACAGATCTCACCCAATGTTAGAGACATTATCATAATGTTCACAGACCTCACCCAATGTTAGAGACATTATCATAAAATTCACAGACCTCACCCAATGTTAGAGACATTATCATAATGTTCACAGATCTCACCCAATGTTAGAGACATTATCATAAAATTCACAGACCTCACCCAGTGTTAGAGACATCATCCTTATGTTCACAGACCTCACCCAGTGTTAGAGAAATCATCAAAATGTTCACACATCTCACTCAATGTTATAGACTTTATCATAATGTTCACAGATCTCACCCAGTGTTATAAACTGTATCATAATGTTCACAGACCTTATCCAGTATATTATAAACCTTATCCTACTGTTCACAGACCTCATCTAATGTTATAAACTTTATCATAATGCTCACAGACCTTACCAAATGTTATATACTTTATCTTTTTGTTCACAGACCTCATCTAATGTTATAAACTGTATCGCTTCCATATCTTTTTGCCACAGCTGGACGTTGACTGCCTGCTCTTCACAGATCTCATCCTGATATGCAAATCCAATAGGAAAATGGAGCGCTTCAAAATTATACGACCACCAATGAGACTGGATCAGTTGGTGGTTAGCGAGCTGAAGGATAAGGGAAGTTTTCTCCTGATTCCTGTATATGTGATGTGATTATCCATACAGATGTCTCCATGTGGGATGCAATATTTTTGTTATTTGAAGCCCCACCCTGGCTTCTGCTGGGGGCCCTGAATATAGCTGGGGCAAAAATATGGCCTAGCCATAGATATGGCGTAACAGCTGAAAGGGATTTCTAGGACCTCTCCACGGGTGATCCTCATCAGCATGGTGGCACTTTGGGTCACTGGTTGTTTATCACTTGTGTGATGTCCTGGTGGGGTAGAAAAGTCAGTCAGTCAGTGTTGAGATGCAGACAGATCACATTAAAAGGGAATAGACACCACTTAGTGCAGTAAAGCATGGAATATGAATCCACAACAGCTAGTTTGAGGATTAAGGTCGAAGTCACTGCAGTCTTCTTCTGGCTTGAGAACAAGCTGCACACACATGTTGTGATGTAACTCACAAAGCATGCTGAGAAAGGGAAAGACAAGTATGCTTCAGGAAGAGTAGCAGGCATCGCTTCAGAAGTCCTAGGAAGTTAGCTTCCTTTGGATATTTTCTTCAGGGAATGCAGTGGTATTGGGAAATTAACAGGCAGATAGACTGGCTGGTTTTTCACAACTTGGTGGTAAATTGTTGAGATGTGATCAATGTTACGACTGTCCTGTGGGTGTGAGTAAACCATGCAGAAGTGCAAACAGATTACTACAGTCTGAAGAGAACAGTGCAGCAGGCAGTGACCAGGGGAACTGACCAACACTCAACAGAAAGATGAGACGGCTATAGAATCAGACTAGCTGGTACCAGTGGAGTTAGAACTCTGCACTGGCTGCTGAAGATGGGGATGGAGCAGCTATTTAAATTTCCTAAGTGCTAGACATCAGTTTTTATCTCACCTCCAACTCTGTGTACCATTCATTTATTAAATACGCCTGCTCTGTCCAAGATGTTACATTAATTCTTCTCTCTCATGATCATCATGGGAGCCGCCTTGGTGTAGCGGCTAGATGCTCATCTGTGGATAAGAAAGTTTTGGGTTTAATTACCAACAAGATCAAACATATTTTTTTGTCATGACCTTGGCTCCCAGGTCAACCCAACCTTAAATGGGTTTGAGGTAAAGTCCTGGAAAGTAAAGGGGTGATGTTGACAATGTCACCTACCAAGTGTCGATTTGGCTAAAAAATATAGCCTAGTCCTATACGCCCAATGTGCTTGAGGGTGTAGAAAAATGTTCTATACATCATCATCATCATTAGCATCTCATTGCACCGTTATTCACCACATAGGGTTCACTGTCTAGTCTTCCCTTCTGCTCTGCAATGCTTTTGATATAATGCAAGAAAACAACAACTGCAATATTGACGTCTCTATTCTTCTTCTTCTTCAACACTCCAAGCTTTTGAGGTTCATTACTGCAGATATCACACCGCCTCTATTCGTCTGTCTTGTTGGTCTTCTCTTTCCAGCTGGTGGCACCATTTGTCTGTAGGTGTGTCTGGACATTATCTCTCCATCGTCTTCTTAGTTGGCCTCATAGTCTACGACCATTCAGCTCCCTAATAATGTATACAGATTTTTCCTTTCTGTGATATGATATTCTCTCAATATGTCCCAGGCATTTAGTCTATTAGCTCTCATGATGTCAGTGATCAGTCGTGATTTAAACAGTTTATGAATTTTGTTGCTGTTTCTCTCTCTCCATTCCTAGCTGTTTACATCTCTGATAGGTCCAAAGCTTCGTCATAACACTGTTGACTTCTCTCAGCAATGTTAATTCTAGGGTTTCTCTTGGACGTCCTAGTTTCCTCATTCAGTTTCCTATTTCAGTCCCTGTCTGGTGATTCTCTGCTCACTTCTATTCAGGGTGTGCCCAGTATCTTGCTGCCTTCTTTGTTTCATACCTATTAATACCAGTGGTTTTTGGTAATATTTTCTTATGACTTCACCTTTCTTGAATTCATCTTTAACAATGTGGGTTCCTGGGGTCCTACTGTGGGCGGAAAGGGGGGGGGGCGGGTCAATCCACTACTTTCTTAAAAAAGCATATCGTAAGATTAGACTAATTCTGGGTTTTGTCGAAATCGGATTGCATGTCTGAGATGCAAGGGACCAACAGCCTGTACATAAATAAGCAAGATCTGTCACAGGGAAGTGCATGCAAAGCTCACATTCTGCAACAAGTCTAATAGTGGTCAAACAACCAGAAGTTTTCACTGGAGTTTACAACCAGCGAATGCAAAGAAGAAAAAGAAGAAGTATTCTTTCAATTTCCTGTTCATCAATTTCTCCAGGCATTTTTTTTTTAAAAACATTTAACTTTCATTACATGTCATTAGTATTTTCTCACCTTTCTCTCGCATAAGTTAAATCTAAAACAACATTAGAATTGAAAATATGTAACCAGTTTTAAAACTATATAATTTAGAGATGCATAATTTGTTCAAGCTTTCAAAAGCTGTTGTTGCCTTGCCAATGTGTCTCATAATTTATAATTGTTTTTTTTTTTTTTTACGTGTGTTTCCTTGACAATCAAAACCTAAAGAGGTAAACTGATCTGTTACTTTAATTCTTTGTGTCTTTGCTGTGATTTCTGCTTTCTCTGTTATCTGCCTTCAACATGTCTGCCTCGTGGTGTTACCATTTTAATTCTTTCAGATCTGAACATTTATTATGTGAGAAACTATAGGTTAGAGTAACTGCTGGCTGCCTTTACATTTACAGTGCCCATTTTAGTCTAGGTCTAACTTAAGATTGACTTTTTCCTCCAAAGAATAGGAATAATTATATATACAAATATATATATATATATATCCTGATTTTAACGAGGTGGATTGAGCTGAGTATCATTATTTAAATTACTACTACCACTGTATCTTCTTCATCATTTTTACATTCACTGGCTGTAAACTCTAGCTGGCTTTGCTTTGTGGGGAGAAAAACAATCATCATTTTAACCAGCATCCACGAAGGTGTTGGTGGTAGCTTTTGATTATAATTCTGACTAGGTTTATGTGTGCCATATAAAAGGGCTTAGCATTGTTTGCCATTAAGTAGCCCTGAAAAGGACTCATGCAGTGTTGATGCGATCAAAAGAGACACCCAGATTCTGTCCCAACTGACGACAAAGTTGTCCACCGGCCAGAAGATGGGTGACCCAGTCACTGATGATGTATACTCTGGTGAAAAGTTCGGATATTTCATCCACTTGTAAATTTTAGTCTTGTTACAGAACTTCAATTTTGCATGCACATCTATTTTATACTCTCGCATATTTATATTTACACTGTTGGCTCTCACCTCTCAGGTGGATGTACTCATTTCAAAGGAAACACCCCTAAAAAGTTGCTAACTGGGGAGGGAGGCAGTGTATCTATTATTTTCTCCGCAACAATGGGACCCCAGACCCACGCAGGAAAGTTGCACTCATTTGCTGCAGATATTACCATCCTCCATACATATCTGCCCCTGTGGGTGCTAGAGTTTGGAATACTTTCCCCTTTGTTATTGTTGTGTAGTTAGTTCATGTTGAGAAAGGCCCTGGCCAAAACATTGATTTGTGTGTTTTGTGCACTTTGTTTTGCTTTCCCCTTCATAAAGCTTTTTAGTCACAGTTCACTGGTTTCATTTTTTGGCATCAGCTTGACTGCATTCACCCCTGTTTTCATGACTTTTTTGGAGTCCCCAAACAGTCTTTATTGTTGTTAACTATGGCGTCACATTATTTAAAGTTTGAAACATTTTCAATTTCTTCATTAATTACCTTTTTTTATTATTATTATTATTTATTGTGTGATTTATATAGGAGTATATCTTTTGTTTTTAAATTATAATTTATTCATCCTTATTTTATTTCCAGAGGGATTACAAAATGAGAAAAATCCAGGAAAGTGCAGAGTTGGAAATTCTTCGCAAAGACTCCACTGCAGCTCAGGGTGAGGTCGAAGAGTCTACAGTTTTATCAGTACCATCTTACCTTGAACTTGTCTCAACGACTCTCCCTCGTTCAGAGAGTACAGAATCTGCTGATCGTTTCATACCAAACCTTTTAACTCCAAACGACTTATCTGCAGATACTGGTCAACCAGAGGCTTCACGATCCGTTTCTACTGGAGACTTACAAAGTCACTCCATGACGCTATCCACACATAGAGATTTACCTCATGCTTATACTGATCCAAAACTTGGAACTTTGTTATCCCCTGATCTTTCCAGTATGCAACAGTCAACAAGTGAAAATATCCAAAAGAACAGTTATACTCTTTCTACCAAACACAAGCCAGTGCAGTCATCTCACTCTGTACCAAACATCATGGTTGGCAACAACAGTAATGGTGCTTCGCCAGGTGCTTCTCCTCCATCTAAACAAGTAATTTCCTTAGAAGATCAATCAGTCTTCAAGGAAGTATCACAAGATGTAGATCAGTTATCTGTCTCAACATCTAGCCAATCCAAAGATATCTTTCATTCTGCATCGGAGGGATCGCTTTCTGAATACAACAGCATCAGCGATGAAGAAGAGCTGGCAAAGCTCAAATTAAACTCTCGAAGGGTTTCTCGAACTGAGAAACGATACCATACTGCGGATGCTATACAGGATATTAAAAACTCTGAAAAGGATAACAGTATACACAAACGGCTTTCATGGAGAACAGATGTTGCTATAGATCATAAAATTCTTGGATCTAAAGCAGTTAGTACAGATTCTGTTCGGAGTATCCCATCATCCAGTGGTGTAAGCTCTATCGGTTCCCTACATCTAACAGTGGAATCAGAAATCAGCGAAGAACAAGAAGGAAACAGTAACGACAGTGATAATTATAGTGGCAGTAGCCCCACCAGGAATGATCGCCTAAAACTCTTTTCTGTTGGAGACACAGAAGACATTGATGATAACGACGAAGATGATAATTCATTTGCAGATTCAAAACAATCTAAGTCTAAATCAACTTCAGATTTAGCCACAATGTTCAGTAACTCTCTGCAAGTGAGTCAAATAGAAGATGGAATCGCATCAGTTGCCATGACAGCAGATAGTTTCAGCAGAAAATTAACCCCTGCAGAAATATTGAAGATGAAAAAGTTAAAGCATCAGGTTTTATATGATGCTAACATAGAATCTTCGTAAGTATCACATATTTAATTTTACATTTTCCATTTGATTTAAAATGCCTAAAACTTTAAAAATTTATTATTCTGCTATCTTCGTCTTCTGCTTTCTACCCTCCAGTGGACCCTCAACCAATTCACGCCAAATCGTTCTGTCCTTTGCAAACAGTTCTTTCTAGCTCTCTTCTCTGTGTGGCTTTTTGGCCTGCATTTATTTCTATGCCCCTGTGGGTTCCAGTGCAAAGACATTTTAGTTATATTGCTCTCAAAGTTTTTACACTGAAATGTTTTACTGTTAAATGCTAAATGCTAAAATTGTTTATGTTAATTAACATTTACATTGCTTACTGAAAATTTAAGCTTTAAGAATAACCACTTGATCTTTATAGAAAAAAATTAATATAAAGTCATCCCCATGGGGGATGCAATTGTTAGTTATTTTGAAGCCCCACCCTGGCTTTTGCAGGGGGGCCTAAATATAGCCGGGCCTCAAATATAGCCTAATGGCTGAGTGGGGTTTCTGGAACCTCTCCACGGGTGATCCTCATCAGCATGGTGGCACTTTGTGTCACCGGGTGTTTATCGCTTGTGTGATGTCTTGGTGAAGTACAACTTTCTCTACCTTACCTTTTTATAGTAAACTTTTGATAGTTTGATTAAACTTTCACTTCTTGATGTTCTATTTTCTGATAAATGTGTTATCTTGATTAAATATTCAATTCTTGATTATTCTTTTTTCAGTCTGTCTCACACATCAAGTGTTTAGTTTTGTTGAACCCTGGTGGCTCAGATTGTTGATTCTTTTACTACTTGAGGAATTAACAGCTGGCTTTGTCCTCTTTTGGACATGTAATGAAAGAATATAAGTAAATTATAAATCAAAAATAGAATAGTAAAGTAAAGGTCCTTTTTTTACGTATAGGGCATATAGGGCTAGACCTATATTTTGTAGACAATTGGCACTCGATGGGTGATGCGGTCAGCACCACGCTGGCTGCCTTTACTTCCCAAGACTGCACCTGGTACCCACTTAAGGCTGGATCGACCTGGGAGTCAAGGTCATTTTTGAAAAAAAAAATAAGTTTCCATCAGGATACGAACCTACAACCTTCCGATCCGCACAGGAACGTCTAGCCACTATGCCACGGCAACTCCCAACAAACAAAACAAAAAAATAGAATAGGAATGGCTATATTATTTTCAACATCTCTTTCAGTCCCAAGGGGTTTAGCATCAGAGGCCTGGAGGTAATGAAAATAGATGTAAAATTAGTGCACTTTGCATTCATTTGGCTCTAGGTAGGAATGTTGATTTAAGAATTGACATCATAGCACTCGCGACACTCCCATAAGCGCTCTGTCCCCATTTTCAGCAGCAAGTGAAGAATTTCAATTCCGATTGTACCAGTAACTGTCTGATTCTACATCCATCTAGCCTTGTCCTTGATTGTTGAGCATCGACCAGATCCCCTGATAACTCCCCGCAGCGCCATTCTCCTCAGACCGTAACGATCTATATGTGATTCTGCATTGTTCATTCACACAAACAGTCCAACATTAGAAATGCAGTTCATCATCAACGGAAGCAGCACGTTACAGACAGAGCAGCAGCTACACATGTGATAATTTTAATCACATAAAGTAAAAGATTAAAAGACCCTTTTCTATGCCTTTAGGTGTATAGGGCATATAGGGCTAGACCTATATTTTTATAGACTGATCGGCACAAGGTGGGTGATTTGGTCAGCATCACTCCAGATTTTAATCACATAAGGTGCCATCAATTCGGTTGCAACAGGCCACTCATTTTTGCTGAATCTACAGTTCACAACAACACACTGGTCACAGTCGAAAAACATTCCAAGTGTAATCCGCAGCTCACAGTGTCGTGCCATGCACTCAGTAGCTGGATGACAAAACTATATACTTTAAATCTACAAATGGAGAAAAATGCAATGGCCACTGTCTCTCAGAAGCAAAACGTTTTTTTTACTAGAAACAGTGAGCCTGCCTATCCTTCATGTTGGCCAGCAGCCCTTAAACTGGGATGGCCGGAAAAGTGCGGGGGGGGGGGGATGTGGAGATTCACTACACCTAAACAAGCATGTTATAAAAGGAGACTTTAATTAAAGGTTTACTTAAATTGGATGCTTTGGTCTGAGAGGTGCGATATCGCATCCTAGCTATCAATCTAACTCAGTGCACCAGCTGCACTTTAAAAAAGTGAATAAAGGAAAAAAAAAAACAAGAAGACAGAATAAAGAAGAAGATAAAGAGGAGGGAGACAAAGAAGAATTTTTTAATATTGAACTCATCATGGGAACAATTATACAGTGGCTGCTGCATTGAAGGACTGGGCAGGCATGGGAATGCCCAATGTGTAGTGATGTTGATTGCAATGCCATGACATAAATATTTATAAATGCTTTTACATTTTTTTTTTTTTTTTTTTTTTTTTTCAGAGAAGTGTAACAAGTGAAGATGAATCATAGGAACACATTGTCAATCTCTACATTTTGGATTGTTCAAAGTATCTGTCAGACTTAAAAAGGAGAATCATCAAAACCTCAACAATATATGCACATCATCTTCTTAACAACAGAACTCATGCAGAAATACCGGTTTCCTAAATGTAGTATTTTTATTTACATATTTTTTTTAGTTCATTATGGGGTATGTTCTATTCTGAAGTTACGACCTGTTTTATGGTCAGATTATTTCATTTTCTTGTCCTGAAAAGCTTCCATGTTTTTAGATGCACAGTTTGTACCCTGTAAGACATGGTGCCTAGGGCAGGTTATTGTATCATTGAAACAAACTTGTTTCTATTGGCATATTCTTGTACATTACTTATTGTCTGATGCCGCAGTATCACATATTTGTCATGTTTGCTTCTAATTGACTATGCATTCGAAATGATTGAATGAGATTCATCAATATTTAATTAAATGAGGGGCAAGTTGAAGGGAGGTGAGCATGAGGTGGATAGTGATAAAAATGGGAGGATAACATCAGTAGATAGTTGAGCAGCAATCTCATAAAGTGTTTAGCCAGGACAAGAGACACAAAGTGCTGAAGAGGAGGCACATGATTGGTTGATTTAATAAAATAAAACATTTATTGTAAATTTATACCAGCATGATAAAACCAGGGTTTTCTCAATCATTTTTTGTTCACTTTTGAGTCACTTCTTCTTCTTTACAAAGTCCTTCTTCTTCTTCTTCTTCTTCTTCTTCTTTCTCTTCTTCTTCTTCTTCTCTTCCACCTTGTACCTTATCGAAGTGTCAGCGGAGGGGAGATTTAACATTCGTTGATGGGCTCTGTCAAGAGCACTATTAGGACTGATGTTCATTTCTTTAAGGCTGTTATTGATGCCATCACTCCATATTTTCTGGGGTTTCCACTCGCTCTATGTACCCATTGTAACATTTTAATGTGGTTCTCTGTGGTAGACAGTACCAAGGCATTCTTTTTTAGGTGTCCAAACCACTTCATTTGTTGTTCTTTGATGACCTGTAAGATTGGCTTTATTCCTAGCATTTGTCTGATTTCCTAATTTCGTATTCTGTCTTTCCTTGAAACTCCTGCAGCTCTTCTAGGGTATTTCATCTCTGTTTTCATTATGTTCACCAGCTGAAAACTCTGGCGGAAAATGTTTGTTCACTTTTGGATTTTGCCCTTGCTCCAGATCTTGAATTATGTGTGCACATTCATTTTATAGATCTGGTTTATATGTGTGCAGGCCTATGGTTGCTCACCTCTGAGGCAAATGCAAACCAACTTCAAAAGCAAACATCAGTCCTGTCTGCATTAGCCAGACCCCAAGCTTTCTGAATCTGTTTCTTAGATCAATGTAGAGAAGTGTAGGCAGGTCTGGACCAATCTGAGCACAGATCCTGGTGGACACTATGTGTTGTTAAGCACCTGTCGATCCAGCCGTACAAGCTAAATAAGCTACAGCTTGGGGCTTCACAATGTGCAGGGTCCTCATAAAATTAGGTGTTGCAGTGGCATAACAGATAGGTGCTCATGTGTAGATCAGAAGGTCATCGGTTCACTTCCTGGCAGACCCGGATTTTTTTTTTTATGACCTCGACTCCCAGGTTAACCCAGTCTTGAGTGGGTACCGGCTGCAGTCCTGAGAAGTAAAGGCGGCCAGCGTGATGCTGACCACATCACCCATCTTGTGCCAATTAGTCTACAAAAAATATAAGTCAAGCCGTAAATGCCCTATAACTTAAAGGCATGGAAAAGGGATCTTTTCTTTACTTTTGTTACCTCATAAAACTCAAATTTTTTCCACAAATGCAACTATCTTTTATGGGTTTTTTTTACAAGCATATTGTTCTTTTTTTTTTTTTTTTTATTACAAGTTTTCCTAAATCATTTTTCTATTTAAAAAAAATTGGGGTTATATTATACCACACTTTTATCTATGCCAGCTTCTTGTAAAATAAAATAGAGGACCCTTTTCCACACCTTTAGGCATAGTGGGCTAGACCTATATTTTATAGACCAATCAGCACTTGGTGGGTGATGTGATCAGCACCATGCTGGTCACCTTTACTTCCCAGGACTGCACCTCATACCCACTCAAGGCTGGGTCGACATGGGAGCCAAGGTTGTTTAAAAAAAAAAAAAAAAAAACTCTGGCTGTTTCTGACTCTTTCTGTTAACTTTAACCCTTTCTGTCCCAAGCTTTTGTACTTTTAAGAAGCAATCCTTAAATTGTAATGAGTTAACATAACAAAACTATGGGGCAAGTTGTTTCAAAGTAACAACAGAGATTGCTTAAACCACAACAGAATGTGCCAACTGCCTTTTTCAGGGCGAATGCAGAAAACAAAGAAGAAGAAGGAGTGGGACAAGAAGAAGAAGATGAAGAGGAGAAAGAAGAAGAAGAAAAGAAAGATTTAAAAAAAGAAGAAGAAGATGAAGAAAGAAAGCAGAAGAAGAAGAATAAAGAAGAAAAAGAAGAAGAAGAAGAAGAAGAAGAAGAAGAAGAAGAAACTCAAATCTCTAGGATGAGAGCATGGTATTATGACTGTTGCATACTGAGTAGTCAACAAACATATCTTCCCTCTGAAAGAGAGAGAGAAATTATAACAATTGCTTGCTACCTTGTTACAGTTATTGATGTTTAATGATCTGTCCATGGCAACAAATAGATGGCTTGTGTATCTCATTACAAACATATCCTATACATTGTAATTTATAGATCTGTTTTATAATTATTGTAAATGTATGTGTACAAATTGTTTTCAAAATCATAGTATGTATAGTTTTAATATACTTTCTGTAGTTGATGTAATTTTGATGATCCTAGCTTCTGTGACAGTGTTTGTTGATACTCTTGATGATAATGGTGTCTGAGAATGTAATTTTGACACACACAAAAACGAGACGATCGACTTTATTGCACCGGGTTTTATCCAATATAGCTCAGTCTTTCTACGCAGAATGGCTAGTCGCCTGCCGAGATCATTACACAGACACAAACTCTGTAGTTTGAGCGATGATCCCCAGGGATCTCCATAAAAATTGCACTCATGAACTGAAAGGCACAGATGTGGAGGTAACCCTGACTTTCAGAGCACTTTGCCACGTAGACCCCCAAATAGAGCATCTGTGACTGTAAGTTTTATTGATAATTAGAACATCTCTGAGAGTGTTTGTAATGTACCCATAATTAGAGCACCTGTAGCAGTGTTTGTTAGTATGTAACATGTTAACTGGAGCACCTGTGACAATGTATGTTGGTAACGTAAATGTGATAATTGGAGCACCTGTAACAGTGTTTGTTAGTAATGTAATTGTGTTAACTGGAACACCTGTGACAAGGTATGTTGGTAAATGTAATTGTGATAATTGGAGCACCTGTGACAGTGTATGTTGGTAATGTAAATGTGATAATTGGAGCACCTGTAACAGTGTTTTTAGTAATGTAATTGTGTTAACTGGAGCACCTGGGACAATGTATGTTGGTAATGTAAATGTGATAATTAGAGCACCTGTAACAGTGTTTGTTAGTAATGTAATTGTGTTAACTGGAACACCTGTGACAAGGTATGTTGGTAAATGTAATTGTGATAATTGGAGCACCTGTGACAGTGTATGTTGGTAATGTAAATGTGATAATTGGAGCACCTGTAACAGTGTTTGTTAGTAATGTAATTGTGTTAACTGGAGCACCTGTGACAATGTATGTTGGTAACGTAAATGTGATAATTGGAGCACCTGTAACAGTGTTTGTTAGTAATGTAATTGTGTTAACTGGAACACCTGTGACAAGGTATGTTGGTAAATGTAATTGTGATAATTGGAGCACCTGTGACAGTGTATGTTGGTAATGTAAATGTGATAATTGGAGCACCTGTAACAGTGTTTTTAGTAATGTAATTGTGTTAACTGGAGCACCTGTGACAATGTATGTTGGTAATGTAAATGTGATAATTAGAGCACCTGTAACAGTGTTTGTTAGTAATGTAATTGTGATAATTAGAGTACCTGTGACAATGTATGTTAGTAATGAAAATTTGATCCTTAGATTGACTGTTTTCTGTAAACAAAGAGTGGTTTTGTGGCATGAGAAGCAATAGTGGATTCATTACTGCTTATAGCTATATGTTAGAGCAGTATGAAAACGAACATATATCTGTCCATTCAAATTTTTCCGCTCTGTTTTAAACACAAAGTTACAGATGAAATCTGGCTTCTTCAGTTTCCAGTTTTTGGGCCCATTTGAATATAAATTACTCATGACTGTTTTGTTATTCCCAAAGCGGCTGGTCGAATAATTTAAATGGTGGACTGGCTTGTGGGAGAACCAGATTCGATCCTTGATAATCCCTGTGTGGGTGACAGGGCCCCATTTTGAGGGCAAAAAGAATAGACCCACTGTTGCCTCTAACAAGCACGTCGTAAAAAGCAACTAGTTGGGGGGATTTTCTTCAGTGTCGAAGTGCATCTGCCTGGGAGGTCAGGAACACCAACAGTCTGCATAAAAATTAGCCTGATTTGTAAAACAGATGTGCATGCAAAACTCAAGACTTTGGAACAAGACCAAAGTCCAAAAGTGGAAGAACCAGCAGAACTTTCTACTGGAGATTACAGCTGGTAAACGCGAGGAAGAATATGGTGTATGGAACTCCGAGATATGCAACATATTTTTTTTTTTTAGTAATGTAGATTGCAAAGCTGGTGTTGTATTTCAGTTTCTCTGTGTTTTCAGGTGTGCATGTTGATAAGTATTTGATTTTTATATGGAGTGTCATGCAGTGTGTATGTATGGGAAAGGCTGTGGGGAGAGAGGGGGGGTTGCTGAGGGCTTGTGTTTGTACACATACTAGTTAGATGAGAAATACTTTTGCCTTTTTTCTTAAAGATTTTTTAGTTAAATACCCCGCCTGAATTTATTTTTTTGAAGAAGACACCATTATCTCTCCCCCCCTCCCTCTCTCTCTCTCTCTCTCTCTCTCTCTCTCTCTCTCTCTCTCTCTCTCTCTCTCGTCTCTCTCTTATCTTATCTCTCTCTCTAACGTTGCATCAGTTTGTTTCCAAGCATTTTTAGTATTTTGCTATATAAAAATACATTTTTATTCCAGACAAAAGTCAAGTAAAGGGCCCTTTTCCACGCTTTTAAGGCGTACTGGGCATATAGGTCTAAACCTATATTTTATAGACCAATCAGCACTTGGTGAGTGAAGTCATCAACATCACCCCAGCTGCCTTTACTTCCCAAAACTTCACCTGATACCCATTTAAGAATGGGTCGACCTGGGAGCCAAGGTCATTTCTGAAGAAAATGTCATGTTCTGTTCGGACTCAAAACCATGACTTTCGTATCGATTCTGACACTGATGATCTTCCATTCCATGATGTCAAACTGTCCAGCATGTTCTCTCTTGGTTTCCCCCTACCTCTTTTCCCTCCAACTTTCCCTACCATTATGGTTTCTCCAGTTTTCTCCTTCTCAAGACATGCCTAACAAATATAGATTGTCCCCTTCTAATGTAGACAATCATTTCTCTGTGTAAGTCAGTTTCTTTCAAGAGATCTTCATTACTCTTTATCTGTTCAGGAAATTCTTATAATTCTATAAAACCACATCTCTGCTGCTTCTAAATAACTGTTCACTAATTTGCCTACAGTCCATGATTCACTTCTGTATATCAGGATAGAATTTATATTGCTCTTGAGAATTTACCTTTCTTGTCTCAACTTACAAAGAAAGATTGCATAGAATATTTTTGTTTTGTAAAATGCTGTCTTTGCTTGAGCTTTTTCATATTTAACTTCTTCAATACAAACTTGCCCTGTCTCCTCTCATAACAGGCATAGTTGATTACAGTGTTTCATTTTTCTTCTTATTCTTTCCTTAATTCTTTTATTACCAAGCAAGTTAACGTTAGACTTGTTACATTGTAAGAATGTTACATTCTCTAACTAATAAATGATTTGGTCTGAGAAATTACAGAATATTTTGAGATAGAAATGGTTTCAGTAAAACACTGGGACAGAGTGGCTTAGTGTGAGAACTTGAAGAGTTACAAGAAGTGAAGAGAGAGAACTTAAAGAGTTACAAGAAGTGAAGAGAGAGAACTTAAAGAGTTACAAGAAGTGAAGAGAGAGAACTTAAAGAGTTACAAGAAGTGAAGAGAGAGAACTTGAAGAGTTACAAGAAGTAAAGAGAGAGAATTTGAAGAGTTACAAGAAGTGAAGAGAGAGAACTTGAATAGTTACAAGAAGTGAAGAGAGAGAACTGGAAGAGTTACAAGAAGTGAAGAGAGAGAACTTAAAGAGTTACAAGAAGGGAAGAGAGAGAACTTAAAGAGTTAAAAGAAGTGAAGAGAGAGAACTTGAAGAGTTACACGAAATGAAGAGAGAGAACTTAAAGAAGTGAAGAGAAAGCCTGACTATGTCGATTAATACCAGAAAACTCACCATGAGTTGGTGGATACTAAATGACTTCACTCATTCAATACTGAACAGTGCACCATGGTGGCTGGATTTAATCATGTGAATGAGTTGAAGGTTATCAATTTTGTATATTAAAGTTGACTCGGGGCATAGTAAAACACTCAACAACACAACAGTTCTCTTAAAAGTGTTGTGTATTTAGCCCCTGTGGATGTAGTATATCCATGATTTTGTTGATATCATGCTTGCGTCTTTTTGGCATCAGCCATGACTTTTTGGAACTGAAAGGGTCGAGGGCTCCAATATAAGTTTAGTTATTACTGTCTCGTTTACTCTGTTATTTTTCTATGTTATTTCTTATTTCTCTATTACTATTTATTGTATATGATATTCACTAGTTATTATTGTTTTGTTATTACTACTTTTTTAACTATGGAAAACTGGGTCTGGTGTTTAATCCAGCTCTCTCTTCTGGCTTCACCACCTTCTGTTTTCTGATTTCATGTCCTGTTAACTTCTAATCTTATCACCTATTAATTTCTAACTGTATCACTTTTTGTCTTCTAATTTTATCACCTGTTGCTTTCAAATATTATCACCTATTGTTTTTTATTCTTGATTCTGTAATTAGTGTATATTTCAATGGTCATTTAGGTGCAATTTTTCAAAAAATAAACAAGATAACTAGCAAAAAATGTTCTTGTTTTCGGGTGTTCAATTTGACATGTTATAATAAAGAAGGAAAAAATACTGATATTCTGAAAAAAAATATAAACATTAGTGGAAATTGGTTAGTAAACATCATCTTGTCTCTGTGTTGAGGGGCAGATGAAATGCATGGGAGTTCATAGCGAAGGTGAATGTACGTCGCTTGGTGCAACAAAGCCTGGCATATGATATCACAACGTCTAGTTTCAGAATGGAGGTGGAGGCTGTCACTTCTTCGCTGGCTTGAGAATCAGCTGTAAACACATGTCATTGTTGTAACTGACTCACAGAGCATGTTGAGAAAGGTGGAGACAGGCATTCTCCGTGCAGAGTGGCAAACATCACTTTAAAGTTCCCGGGTAGTTAGCATCCTTTGAATATTTTCTCCAGGTCATGCCTGTGTGTTGGGAAATGAGCAGGCAAATAGACTGGCCGGTTCTACACCACTTGGTGGTGAACTGATGTATGACAAGCTGGATGTTGTGAGGGCCCTTTGGGAGCAAGTAAACAATGCCAAGGCACAGATAGATCATTACGGTCTGAGAAGAATGGCACTAGGAGATCTGGCCGATGCTCAACACGCAGGGGAAAGGTGAAACGGATATACAATCAGACAGTTACTTGTACCATCGGAAGTTTAACTCTTCGCTTGCTGCTGCTCCACAGGGCATTCTTGTTAGGTGTTCAAACCACTTCATTTGTTGTTCTTTCATGATTTGTAAGACTGGCTTTATTCCTAGCACTTGTAGGATTTTTTGATTTCGTATTCTGTCTTTCCTTGAAACTTGTGCAGCTCTTCTAAGGCGTTTCATCTCTGTTGTCACAATTTTACGTTCATTTGAGGATCATTCAAAGATGATGAACTGCATTTGTAAGTGTCGGGACAGTACAGAAACAGAATTGCTTTGGAGAGTTGTTCATTTCCTTTTCCCGACTGCATGTACGGGTAGAAAAATTAGGTGCTTTATTACTAACCCACACCAAAAACGGGGACATCCACAGATCACGGGACAGTCTAATTTTTCAGGGGGTGGTAGATAGGCTGCATGCTGTCATGGGATCTAGGCTGCACTCTTCTGTGGGACGTAGGTCGGTTGGGGTTAGGGCCAGTTCTAGATGTTTTGGGGTTGTTAAAAGCGTCAGAAAGCTGGAAACCCAAGTCTTACCACCCTCTAAAATGTTGGACTGTCCTGTGACGTCATCTTGGGGAGGATATTAATAAAGCACTGGAAAATGAAACTGATCTTTGTCAGCTGTAGGTCCCTCTAAGGGCCCCTGGCATTCCCGTGCTATTTATTCTCGGGCCAAGCATGTCCCTTCATTCCGAGACATCAACTTGTTTCGGGATACATCAGTTGTTACTTTTGTCTATTCATGTGGGTTTTTCTAAATCTGGTAGACCCAAGTGCTGTTGAATAATTTCAACAGGCAAGCTCGTTTCTTCTCTATATTGCAGTTAATCTATCCCTTTTTATTTTTCAAGCAATCTGTGGAAAATTCCTGATAGTTGTATTGCAAATGAAAGCGTCTCAGAATCCCTCTCTGATTGAGTTATGAGTTGGATTATCTTCACAGCACTCCGGACATATCTATAAGCCCTCTCTGAAACCAGATGAGAGGACCATGCTATGGCAACAACAGTCTTCTTCTTCTTCTACTTCGCCTTCACCAGCTGTACACTCTGGCGGAAAGTTCTGGTTGCTCATCCACTAGTGAACTGCAGTCCTGCTCCAGAACCTGAGTGTT